CTAGAATCTCGCTTTTTTTTCTCTTGCATACTATACTGACCGGCTGTTGTTGTTGTTGATGATGATGTTGTTGATGATGACGACGTTGTTGATGAAGTTGCTGAGGATGCTGTTGTTGTTGTTGTTGACGTTGTTGGTGAAGCTATTGAGGATGTTGTTGTTGCTGTTGTTGATGGTGTTGTTATCGATGTTATTGACGATGATGATGATGATGTTGTTTTCGATATTTTTGTTTTTATTATTGTTGTTGTTTGTGTTTTAGGTTTTTTTGTTATCGTTGAGGATTTAATTTCACTCTTTTCTCCGGTTGGCATAATTACATTATCAAACGATGCCTGGTTTATTTGATCTTCCGTTATTTTAGCTCCTGACAAATCACTGTTTGAAAACTGCGCACCTGTCAGATCTGAGTTTCCAAAATCTGCACCCGACAGATTTACACCATTAAAACTAGCACAAACTAAAGATGAACTATTAAATGTCACCTTATCTAACTGTGCTCCATCAAATGATGCACCATTTAAACTAACAAATGAAAAGTTCCCATTTGACATTGATATCTGATGAAAAGAAACACATTCTAAATCCAATTGATGTAATGCACCAATTTCACTTGCTAGATATACATTATCAAAGTTTAACTTATTCAAACGAATTATATCGTCTAATTTTGTTGTTCTACATCCATTAGTACAATTATTTCTACCAATTAAATGTTTTTCTTTAAGAAATTGTATAACATCTGCTTTACGTATTGTGCCCCACTGACGATGAGCAGCACGATAGTATGCATTTGCAAATGCCCATGGATTTTTTCTCTCCTTCAGATAACCATAATTATCCAATTTAAAAATATTATTTATAAATTCATCATAAAGTGTTTGTTGTCTTAATTCTCTTGATTGTTCCAAATCAAATTGTCTTGTTTTTTCAGCTTCTTTTTTTTGTTGTTGAGATCCAATTGCAGTATAAGTAGCAAGAGCTATGGGTATGGCAGCTGAGCATAGAATAGCTAATATGTCTTTAAATGTAAAATGCCAAAAGGCTCTTTTTTTAAAATCTACCATTGTCTCAATCCGATTTCAAAATGAACGGTATAATATTATGATACGTTCGAATATAAAGAAAACACAAATGCTGCTCTCAACTGATCTTTCTCTCTTGTTTAACAACATATTAAGTAACAGTTTTAGTTATATATCATGCATTAGTGCTCTGATTTTTCTAGTGAAAGATATCCTATCTAAATAGTTTCGTCAAAGTCATGTCAAGCGCTGCAGTGTATGATATTTTCAAAATCAGATTTCAAAAAAAAAATAAAAGAAATGAATAAGTAAGTATTCATTACAGACACAACAATATTTAGAAAAACAGTTTCTTGTTTCTTTCAGTTTGCTGAACGTTAAATTTGATCCAGAATAACAAAAATGTATAAATACTGATAAATGAAGATCGATGGAGACGACGAAAGAAGAAAGTTTATACTATTGACTTAAATACCGGAGACTTCTTCGTTTGTCTACATATGATACAAAATCATGGTTCTTAATTAATCCTCCGAAATAATGAAACATATATTTTAACAGTAACTGTGAAATTATCTGATCATATCCATTACAAAGGTCTACAGAAAAAAGAAAAAGGATAGTCTAGACTTGATGAATAAATTTTTTTCTTTGAGATTTTTTATATAAAAACTCGTAATATGCATAACTCAGTCAAAAAGTGTAGTAGAAATAGTTTTATAACTGACTCAAAATATTTAAATTTATAATTTACCAGAATTAAGAATATAATTACAAAAGCAAAAGACAGTCTTTATATACTATAATAAAATGAAAAGAAAAGATTGGATTAGCGACTGGATCAATCTGTTATATTTCTATATTTCTCAATGAATCCTATTACGTGTGAAAACATCATCGAAAAATTAATGAGTAAAAACATGTTTTTTGAAACACTCCCGAATAAAAATAAACAAGGAAAGTTATGGTTTGATGCTTTCATGTATCTTAAGTTATGAACATAAACCGATACCATCTTGAGGGTGTGGATTGGATTTGAGTATGAGTGGGTGTTGCACTTATAACACAGCCACACCCACCCTTCTTTTTACTGCTTTTATTCATCTACACTCACCAATAAGATGATGTCTTCAAGAACGAAAACCGTGTAATTCTATGTCATCGAAGTAAAAAATATGATCAATTTTAAAGATTTATTTCGAAAAAAAAAAGATTGAAAATCTGTTTAGAGTTCATTATAAGAAAATATAAGTAATTTGCGAACGATAATATTTAGAGTCCAGCTTTGTTCAGCCTTGCTAATTCTTTTTTTTGATCAATATAAATCTAAAAAGACAGAAAATAATTTCAATTAAAAGATAAAATAGATATTCACATACTCTATTGAGTGCTACTAGTAATTGATCCATTCTATCAGGAAGATTTTCAATTGGATCAAAATATTGTGAACGCATTCGACAATCTCGTTCTTCTTGAATTTCTAATTGATTTAATTTTTTCAGACCTAAAATATTAATAGACAACTATGTGCTACTAAGATACATCAATCTTGAGAGTAAGTGTCGAAATCTTCTCTTTTATGATACTCACATTCACCCACACCCTCAAGATACCAATGAGATCTCAACTGATCTGAATAAATCATAAAATCTACATACCTGTCCATCTTAAAAATTTCTTTAGCATAAATGATAATATAAGTTGATCTTCTTTTTGATTGTCGTCTTTCGCATGACGAAAACTATCATTAATTATTGAAAGAAACATACTTAAACAAACAAAAACAACTAGAAACATAAATAAAGCAAAACAAAATGGACCAAGAAAAGCATCAGCTCTCATTATTTGTGATGCGTCAAATTTCATTAATGTCATTTCAAAAAGCATTTGAGCAGTTGATATTAAACTTGAACAGGACGAAAGTTTTGATATAAATAATAAATAAAATAAACTAAGAAATGCCATAAATACAATTGCAAACATCATTGAAAATGAAATCAGTGCCTTTGCACAATATTTTAATGTTTCAGCAAATAAAGATATTCGTTGATTAAAACGAAATAATTGAACAAATTTAATCATACTAAAAAAACAACAATAACCAAGAAGAAATGTTAAAATATCATTAACATAAACTGCAAGTTGTAAATTGATATAAATATAACCATTTGTTTGTTCAAATAAATGACTTATATGATTAGCTTCTTGAAAACGCCAAAAATAAACTCCAATACTTCCCAATGAACAACCAATGATACCTAATTGAATTAATGACCAAAATTGTTGACAATATTTTAATTTTAATTTAAATACTAATCGAATTTCAATTATCATAAAATAAATAATAAAAAATATATAAAATATTGTACAAACTAATTGTAATATTGATGTAAATGCTAAATTTAAAAAA